TTTAAAAATATATAAGATTTAAAGATAAAATCAATAAAATTAAAAAAAAAATAAATTTTAAAAATTTAAAAAATAACAATAATAATAATAATAAAAATAACTCAAAGCTTCAACTATAATTAAAGAAGAACTTTTGCTAGGCACAATCTAATAGGTAGCTCTATTAATCCTTTTTTCAAAGCTTTGGACATTGCTCAAACAGAGAACAGAAGGTATTTATTGATAATATATTATATTTAGTAATAATAATATATTTTTAAAGTTTGGTTTAAAAATTATTTAGGTTAGTTTGAGAAGTGAATAGTTTATGTTATCAAGTTTATGCTTTAGAAGAAAGGTAGAAGAGCAATAGGAGATTATTGTTGAGAATATTATAAGAAATTAGATAAGAAATACGAAGTATAAAAGATTGTTAAAAGAGAGAAATAGGTTGTAAGCTCGATTATTGAATTTAGAAAATGAAGTTAGAAAAAGGAGAAGAAATAATGATAATAATAATAATAATGGAGAAAGTAGTATTAGTAGAGAAAAGATAGTAGAGTTTGAGTTTTTCGGAAGGAAATAAATATAATAAAAAAATTAAATAAAAAAAAATAAAATTTTTGTTGTTAAACTAAATTCTGGTTCTAAATATAATAAATATTAAATAAAAATAAAGTGATAATAAAAATAAAAAATAAAATAAAAATAAATAAAGAATTAATAAATTTGGATCTTATAATTTCATAGTGAGCTAAAAGATAAAGATCTTTTATAAATTACAATATGTAGTAAAAATTTTGAATTCTAAGACTTTTTTTGTTTTCTGCATAAAGCAAGACGAACAGAAAACAAAATAGTATCAATTACATTCGAATAGACTAGAGCTTGCAAAAGGCTTTTACTACTCATAATTTTATACTGTTAACAATTATATATAGTTTCTAAAATTCAGATTAACAAATATACTAATAAGTCATAACACTTGTTATTTACAGTTATAGCTACTACATATTTTGTTAACTAAGAAAAAGAAAATAAACTAATATTAAAATAATTAAAAAAAATAAAATAAAATAAAAATAAAATAAAATAAAAATAATATTTGATAAAAATTAATGATGAAGAAGGATTTGAGTAAGAGAGATGAAAAAAGGTAAAGAGAGAGTAAAGTTATTAAGAAAGAGAGGTAGAGATATTAAGCAAAGAGTTTTTGTCATTAAATTTAAGAGTATAAGAGAAGAAAGAAAAATATTGTTTTTAATAAAAGAGGTTATAGTAGAGAGATTAAATTTTTAGAAATGCAAAAATATGTTGTAGATGTTGTAGTATTTTCTAAGTAATTAAAAATATTAATTTGTAATTTCTATTTTCAAAATTTTATTAGGTCCTTACACCTACATGTTTGGCTCTTGGAAAACTCTTTATCAGCAGGGTATTTATTCTCCTGTAGGGTTGCAGTAAGCTGTGAGCTATAGTTATGTCCTTACACTTATCTAAATTAGCTTGTAAGATATACTTTATCAGCAGAGCATTATTTCTTCTATGGAGTTGCAATAAGCTGTGAGCTATAGTAGAGTCCTTACACCTATTTAATTTGGCTTATAGGATACTCTTTACATCTGAGAATTCTTATTATCTAGATATGTTTCATCTAGATATTATAGAGAGTCTGTTTCTAAAAAAAATTAAATCTAAAATTTTTTATTAATGTGTATGTAGTTGAACTTTCCAAGTATTAATGTTCAAAGATACTTGATTAAATCTTCCTAACTTGATAAATTAAATTAAAATTTTACTATGTTTTTAAGAGGTAATAACATAAAAACTACTAGTCATATCTTGTTCAGAATTGACAAACTGTAAGTCTTTTTATGTAATAGCCTTTTGCAAAGGGTGAAGATATTCTCACTATTAGCTTACTTTTGCTTAGAAGTAGCAAACTATTCTTAATAAATCTATAATAATCTTTAAGGCTTTTAAAATAGAATAAAGCTAGCTAACATATTTTTGTTCAGCTATTCAACCACACACTCTTCCCGTAGATCATTTTGACCAAATTTGGAGCTAAGAGAAAACTAAGTTAACTCAGAAAACTCATTAAGAAACAGTACTTAGAATACTAAGCAAAAAGAAAGAAGACTAAAAAGTACATATATTGTACTAGAAGAACAAAAGAAAAACAACCTGATAGTCCTCACTAGAACTAAAAACAGAAAACTTCGATGGAAAAATTTTTTATCGTAGTTTTTTGGGGATTTGAAAATACCCTGAATTGTAGATCAGTTATTGTAACACAAACACGTGGAAAACGGTATAAACAAACAAACGTGATTTGAGAACTAACAAGACGTGTCACGTGTCAACCAATAGAAAGAAAGTATACGTAACAGAAACCGGAAAAAACATAGGCAAACAGGAAAAAACCCAGGGAATTTGGTCAAAAAGACAAAGTCATTCTAAGAAACACATCAAAGATAGAAGTAACCTAGATTACAAAATAAGCCGAAGAATAGGATGTGGAATACAGAAAGTTCTAAATACTTTATTAAGAAAATAATCAAAGAGTATGGTAAAGAAATCGCTCAAGAAGGTAGTGTATCGGCGTTAGGACTAGAAGATCATTTAGATAAAATGGTAGCAAAGGCAATGAACGTCGATAAGAACATCATTACTCTAGCAAGACAGTGGCGAGTTGTATTAGAAAGAGCTGCTTTCACAGAAGGAATAGACAAAATTAAAGAAGTTTTAGGAAGAGAGCAAGAAGTAGCAACTACGCAACCGGAAAAATTAAACAAAACAACACAGGAAATAGAAATGGGAACCGAAGAGGCACTAATTACAGAAGCTGAAAGAGATAAAGAAATAGAATCACATGGAAATATTAGACAGATTTTTCAACACCAAGAAAAAGTAAATAGCAATGAAAGAGTAGCAGATAGAACCAAAGTATCAGAAATTATGAAAGATATCCAATTAGTAGAAAATAGTATAGAAATACGTCCATGCAAAAATGAAATAGAAGACAGATTAGAAATTCATCCATGCAAAAATGAGATTGAAAACAGGTTAGAGCAACTAGTAGAAATAGGAAAGTCAAGAAGCGGCGACACATCTTTAGACTGTAGTGTATGGGCACCTAAGCCAGAAGCGTGTAAAGACAAAGGAGAAGTTAAGGCAAAAGTGGCAGCAGTCAAGATCTTAGGAGATAATGCAGAACAAAGAGAAAAATCAATTAGATGGTCTCTAAGAGGAAACAAACATATCAAAGCAATCCAAGAAAAGTTCGTAAATGGCAACCAATGGTGCATCATATACTTTGACTGCAAAGGAGGTTACGAAGAAGCTAAAGCAAAGTTGGAAAAAAAGAAGGACGAATTTGACCAACTAAACCTGATACTAGAAGAGAAGACTGAAAAGGAGAATCTAAAGGGAAAAAAAGTACCACAAAATGAAAAGAAAATGAAAGAAACAAGAGAGACCCAGGCGAGGCATGAGCTTAAAGAAATACAAAAGAAAAGGGCAACGCTATATAACCAAACTGAAAAAGGTGAGAGCTCAACGAACGACATAAGCAGAAAAAGAAAAGAGGTACTACCCGATCGAGTAGAAGAAGAAGAGACAGTACCAATTAAAGATAAAGGAAAAAGAAGGATGTATGAGTCAGAAACTCTTCTTGAAGAAAAAGAAACCTCTAGTAAAAGTAGCGATCGAGATAACGAATGGAAACCTTATCCAAGAATTGAAGAAACTATTACTGTGTGGGATATACCTCATTACATATCAAGGTCACAAGTTTTTTTCGCAATTAAACACTTAGGACGCATTAAAAATATTGAAATGATCAGAGAAAACTCTGGTAAAACAAGAGCTGAGGTATCTTTCGAAGAAGGAAGCAGCTTTGTACAAGGAATAGAAACATGGGTAATTCCTCTCACAAATGATCTCCTAGTACGTATAACACCAGGAACAAACAGAAAGGAGATATTAGAAAACAGAAAACAATTTATAGCAAAGCTATTTAATATCCCACAAAATATCAATGAAGTATTACTGCTGAGACAACTGAAACATACTGGCGCAAAAGCAGTTCATGTTTTCAAAAACTCAAATGGAAACAACAAGGGTTACGCTTTAGTATCATTCAGAAACTAGTGGGAAAAGTCTCAAGCACAGAAATATATGGTCAAGTATTACGACACAAGACTCTTCTGGGAGACCCATAACGCAAAACCCTGTGAAATACTCGATTCCGAAGAAAAATACAAGCAAGAACAGTATACTCAGGACTTAAATACAAGAGGCTTTAAGAGAAGAGAACCAACCTCGAATAAGTCACCTAGCCTTTACAGAAGTAAAAAGAAAATTACAAGGGAAAAAGTTAAATCAGAAGACAAGGTATATGCAAGAGTTGAAAAACGAAGCAAACCTAACACAAAAGAAGCAAAAGAAAAAACACAAAAAAAAAATAGGCAGGAAGAATCCTTTTCCTATATGGCACAGCGTATTCAAGCTCTTGAAAGAAAATTAAGTAGCTTCGAAAGTAATTGGGGACCAGAAGCCCCAAATCGCTCCTAATACTAGCCAAAGTTGAACTAATAAAAGCTCTAGTCAATCAAGAAGGAAAACTTGAAAGACAAATGAGAGCAGAAACAAGTACAAACCAAGATAAGGAAAAGTACAGAAAAGGCACAGAGAGAGGAGAAGGAAGAGGAAGATTATGCGACGAGAACAGAGACAGAAGGGAAAAACAAGAAAGTATAAAAATAGGTGCACATAATATTAATGGAACTAAAGAGGATAATACAAAGGTAGAATTGTTAGCAGAGTATGGTAAGTCAGAAGGATATAATATAATTGGAATAGTAGAAACTAACATAGGTGAACAAGAAGGCAAATGGATAAATACAAAAGAATATGGTTATTCAAGCTTTTGGACAGAAACAGAAAAAGGAAAGCATAAGGGATCAGGAATTGGGCTACTAGTCGACCAAAATTGGTTGAGAAATATGGGAGTTTGCAAAAGGTTCAGCCCATATTTGCTCAAGGCCGAATTCTTTTTCAGAAAAGTAGTCTTTCAAGTTTGGATAGTTTACTTACCACCAAAGAACGAAGAGGTAACAAAAAAAGTACACAAGATACTTATAGAAGAAATTACTAAGAACAGGAAAAATACAATATATACGATCTTAGGAGATTTCAATACGGTATTAAATGAAAGACTAGACATGAGTAGTAAAGGAAAGAGAAATGCAGATACTGGCACGAGAATTACAAAATGGTTAAAAAATACTGATCATATAGAAACCTTCCGATTCTGTAACCCAGAGCTGATTAAATACTCTTGGTCAAATGGTAATGTATCAACTAGAATAGATCATATCTGGACAACACTGGATATGAGGAGTCTTATCCTAGATAGTAATATAGAACAAATGGAAACAGTAACGGATAGTGATCATGGAATAGTCTGGTTACAACTAGATAGTACAGGTATTTTAGAAAAGAATAAGCAGAGAAGTAAGAAGGGACAAAAGGAAACAAGAAGACTATACCAATACCACAAAGCAACGGAAGAAGATTGGAATAATTACAGCCAAGAAGTAGAAAAAATTATCCGAAATGCAGAAAAAAGAAAAAGAAAGGAAGAAAACCAAAGAGAAATAGAGCTTGAAACGGATATTAACGAAGAATGGGAGCTTATAGCCAAGGCAATTCAAGCAGCAGCAAGCAAACATATTCCTTCGACAAAGACACAAAACTCGAAAAGTCAAATCAGAAAAGAAGCTACGAAATCACTAACATATAGTAGAGCCAAAGTCCTAGGAAGAATTTTCAGAAAAGGATCTAAGGACTTAGGACAAAGTATAGACGGACTTGAGAGAGCAATTCTTAATGCACGAATAGAGCACCTCAATACAGAATACAAGACTAATATCCCACGCTTACCAGAATCCTGGAACAAAGAATACTGTATTGAAATCAAAGAGTGGTGGAATGTTCTAAAAGAAAAAGCTCGAAAGGAAATGCAAGCTGCAAAAGAAAAAGAGATAAAAGAAAAAATCGAAGAAAGATTTGCATTAATGCCTAAAAACCAAAAGCAAATGTTAAACAAATTGCTTGAGCGCCCTCACAACAAGATCATTGTTGATAGAGTTTTAGTCCAAGGCAAAAATAAGTTCGAAAGCAAAAAGCTAGTCACAGAGAGCGATGATATCAAAAGAGAAGTAGAAAGGCATTTCAAAGAACAATTCAGGAAGCGTAAACATCAATTCGAGCAAATAGATTTAGAATAGGCCAATATCTATAAAGAACAAGAGAGAATCAATGAAGTTTGGTACATGGGAGTCATGGATAAAATATCAGAAGAAGAATGGTCAGAAGTCACAAATATGCTAAAAGAAGATACAGCACCTGGTATCTCAGGCATTGGCTACAGACTTATCAAAAAAGTAAGCTCTAAGACAAAAGAACACTTAATAAAATTTGCAAACAAAGTAGTCTACGAAGGAAGATTTCCTAAGAAATGGAAGCTAGGGCAAATATACCTAATTCCGAAGAGTACAGATTGGGAATTTAACTTAGCTAGTACTAGACCGATAATGTTACTTGAGACTTTCAGAAAACTCGTAGTCAGAATAGTTCAAAAAAGACTAAGCAAAGTTTTCGTTGAAAAGCAAATTTTGAAAGGAGCTAACTTTGCAGGACTACCTAATGAGAGCACCATGGCACCTATACATATCTTAAATAATGTTATCGAAGATGCAATCCAAAAAGAAAAAGAGCTTTGGATAGCCTTCCAGGATATGCGAAAAGCCTTCGACTCTGTGAGCATGCATGCTTTAGAGCTTTCTATGAGGCGAATCAAACTTCCTGAAAACTTAATCACTTTCATTAAGCAATTATATCAAGATCGTAAAATAAGAGTGATAACAGATGAAGGCCCTACAGATTTCTTCGTAGCGGGGGATGGAATAGACCAAGGCGAAGTAATCTCTCCACTAATGTGGAAAATATTTTATGATCCATTACTAGTAAGGATACAGCAGCTAGGAATTGGGTACCAAATGGAGCTACAGTGGCCAATAGATATTGAAAAACGAGCATACAAAACTGAAAAAGCAATGATTTCAGCACTAGCATATGCAGATGACACTACATGGGTAGCAGAGTCTAGGCATGCATTGCAAGAAATTATACAAGTATCAAACGGCTTTTTCTTACTGAACGATATTGAGATAAATGGGGCAAAGTCTGAAGCAATTGCTTGGAGACCTCACAAGCAAGGAAAAGAAGATGAATACATACAAATCGGAACACCTCCAAGCCAAATTAAAGTTAAAGAACCAGAAGAAAGTATAAGGTTCCTCGATATTTGGATAAGCCTAAGGAAACAAGAGAGAACAAGTATTTTACGTTGCAAAAAAGAAGTGGGAAGACTAATTTGCATACTAAAATACAAAAAACTCTCAGCTAGCCAGATAATATATATAAACAACATGGTACTACTCCAAAAGCTCGAATATCTGCTAGCAAACATCTGTCTAAAGAAAAAATTATGTGATGCGATACATCAGCCTATGCTTAGACTAATCAAGTGGAAATTGGAACTTCCATCCACATGTGCGAATGCAACTCTATGGCATAGAGACATATTTGGAGTGGTAAGCTTATGGCAAAAACATATAGAGCACCATATATCAGAGCTCTTTGTACGATTGAATACAAACGGTATCCTAGGCACAACCACATTAATGAGACTTAAACAGTCACAATTAGATATGAATATGCCAGAATGTATACTTACTGCAGAAAACATGAACTGGAAAAAAACTAAGCATAGAAATCTAGGTACTACAATAATGCAACAGGCAAAAAAATTTGGTCTAAGCATCGCAAAAAATGACTTCACAGCAGGATGGAACCTGATTAACGTGCAAGAAGTTGAAAATTGTCTTATTAGTAATATACTTAATAAATGCAATATAAAAGAAGCACAAGAAGGTATAAGCAAGCTAAACTTATGGCACGTAAATCAGCTATTAGATAATGAACAAGAGAGAATGATTACTTGGAGACAACTCAAAATAAGAGAAGGAAAAAGACATATCGGAAGAAAAGCAAAGTGGTTCCAAACCTTAGAAGATGAAGTTTTAGCAGACAAGAAAACAAAAGAAGTAAAGGAGGAGTACCGCAAAAGAAGAGGATTCCAAGTACAAGAAACTGAAAAGAAAATCTCGTCAGACAAAAGAAAAAAGGAATGGGTACTTATAAAAGGTAAAGAGAGCAATGAAAACGAAATTGGTCGTATTATCAGAAAAGAAAAGAAGCTTGTAGAAGTAGAGATCTGGGAAGAAGATCACGAAAACTTACATAAAGAAGGTGATCAACAAGAGATATATAAGGAAGGAATTAGACTGAAGAAAAATAGCCAAAAACAAAGGGTAGCGTTAAAAGAAGTCCACAACATCTCAAATTTCATACGAAAGAAAGATAATACACCAGAAGTAGTATTCAACAAGAAGTACCTAGGAAAAATTAGAAAAGAGACCCAAAAAAGCAAGGTAGAGGAGTTTAAGAGGTTCAAGAATTTAGAGCGTATTGAAGTAGAAAATAGCTGGGAGGCAGAGCTAATTAACCAAGTTATTCAAGATACGAGAGTCAGAGCAGCACTAAAAGAAAGACTAGAAGCAAATAGAGAAGAAAAAGAAATAGTATTTTATACAGATAGCTCACTCGGGAGTGAAGATATCAGAAACAAAATAAGGATGGGATTTAGCGTAGTTCAAATAGATAGCTCAAATAGTATAGTCTTTAGTTATAAGGGAAGGATAGAAAACTGGTTCTCATCTACTCGTGCAGAGCTAGTAGCTTGTCTAGTAGCAGTTTTGTTAGTTCCGGATAGATGCAAAGTAGAAATAAGAACAGATAGTACATGTGCAATTTTCGCAATCGAAAAGTGTCGTAAGAATGAGAAAACACGTGAGTAGTTAAAGTACAAGAACAATAACATTCTGCGTGCAATCAAAAAAGTCTGCAAAAGCAAATCAGTTCAGCTAACACTGACAAAAGTCAAGAGTCATTCAGGTGATACTTATAATGATTATGCAGACAGGCTCGCAAAGAAAGGAATATATGAAGCAAACTGTATGGAACTGAATAACATCAGTAACAATAACATAAAATATATTCCTGAGTGGAAAGAGCTAAGCTTGGAAACTCCGCTAAGAGCTTTCATTAAAAAAGCGGTTCAAACAACCTACAAAGCAGAATGGACCTGGCTAAGAAAGAAAAACGACACAGAACATCAAACAAGAATTCAAAAACAGGATTGGAAAGCTTTCAGGGGTATATTAGAAAGCTGCCGTAAACAATACCAAAACCCTGAAGTAAACCACTTACGATTGTTCAAAATCAAATGCATCGAAAATCTTCTCCCAACGGTAGAAACTTTAAACCATAGAAAGCCACAATTATACAAGGACAGCCTATGCAAAAGATGCTTAAAAGAAAAAGAAACGATTGGACATCTAGTCAACTGTGAAAAAACACATCAAGCACTGGAAAAAATTGAAGACGAAGCATGGAAACGGCTCTATGAAGATAAAAGAAAGGAAGAAAGTTGGGATCTAAGGAGTATACGCCAAGTATTCCAATACGAATCGAAGACAAAACAGCAAAAGAGAAAAGAATGGTTAAGGGGTATACTTTGCGAAGAAGAAGCCGAAAGGATCAAAAATATTACCGGTACGGAAAGTATGACGACTAAATTCTGGAGCATGTTTTGGCATATCTGGATAGAATTGGTGTATAAAGAAATTTGGAAAAATCGATGCAAAGATATGGAAGCCTGGGAGAAAAAGGAAAAAATCTCCAAAAAGGAAAAATACGCATAAAAAGAAAAAGGAAAAAAGGGGGTTTTTTTTAAACTTGAGGACCAAAAAAAAGTCAAAATGGCGCCTTGAAAGGGGCGATCTTCTGTACCACGCTGAAACCCTTTTTTTCGGGGCCCCCCCCCCCCCCCCCAAATCCCCATTTTCGTTCCCGAACTATCGCATCAGCT